CTTAATTTGTTACTAGAGGAGTGAAGAATATTTCTGATCTAAGTATCTTTTTCCATTTTTAATCGGAAAGTAGTTGCTTCAAGGGTGAAGCAGGCTGTTCAGATCATTTGGAATCCTTCCAAATTCGGAACAGAACTGATTGAAACAATGTGATAGAAGCAGGCGGCTTTGAACCTGAAACAAATTTTTGCATTCCACTTTTTTTTAAAAAAAAAGCAGGTCAATTTTTTTTAAGGTACCAGCTGCTGATTAACCTGGGGGGGGACTTCATTTTGAGTTTGCATGAAGCCACCAAGGAGATCAGAGGTAGAATGTGGGACAGTGTTATCTACAGCAAACAGTAGAGATGGCAGAATACCAGTATGTGCCTGGTGATACCATCACACAGCTGCCACCCTTCATGTGTTTGCATCCTGACATCTGATGCAAGGGTGTAAGTTATGGTGTTTGTGTGGTGACTTCGCCTGCTTATCCCCCCCACCCCCCGTTTGTCCCTTTCCCCTCCTGCAGAAACCCATGGGATTACTAGTTTGCATAACCACTTTAAAACTTTTAAAATCTTGGAATTGGGGTTATATAGTGTGCCTCTGATTTTATCGGTCCCCGAAAAGCAGCATTTCTCACCATTAGCAACTGGGGAAGTATGGACTTCAACTCCCAGAATTCCTCAGCCAGGATGCATCTTAAGGTTGAGAAGCATTACTGTACAATTAGAATAGTTTCCAACAAAGCCTTAATTATAGAATGCAGTGGGTAGGTGGTTTCAGTCCAGGTAGCATAAATGGTAGGTGGTAAATACTTTGACTATCATTGCCAGAATTGTTGATCTAGAAACTTTCTTGACTATCTATCCACAAACTACCTGCATGCATGCAAGTCAATATCAGGAGAAACTAAAAAAACAATAAAAAGATAAGGAATCCCATAGCTGAGAGGTGGTGGGTTTCTCTTGTGGGCACTCAAGCCAAAGCTGGAAGGCCATCTGTTCAGGAACCTTTAAATCTGATCTTTGAATGGAACAGGCAGATGGACAGCCTAAATTACCCTATGATTATTATTAAGTGTTGTACCTTATGATTCGTGATGAATGTATCTTTTATTTTATATACAATGAGAATATATGCACCAAAGACAAATTCCTTGTGTATCCAATCAAACTTGACCAAAGAGAATTCTGTTCTGTTCTGTTCTGTTCTGTTCTGTTCTGTTGTGTTCTACTCTACTCTACTCTACTCTACTCTACTCTACTCTACTCTACTCTACTCT